TGATGTTCACAATTCTGATGAAGTCTCACATGTATCAGTACTGATAAATGATCAGAATTATAATATTTCTGACGTCTGAGGCAAAATTGAATCGAATCAGGACTTTGAGAACCGGAATCGAATGGATTATAGAAATCAGTGATGATACCCAGCCCTAGTGAGTAGCCTAAACCCGACAGAAGTGGATGTAGCTGTGGGTAATAAGAAAAGTTGAAAATAACTATTGATAACTTTTTTGTTAAGTTAAGGCTTGATCAGTCTGAAATTCACAGCCCGTGCTCTGACACAGAGCCATCAATCTTTGAACGTTGAAAAAGCACAGTGTATCCAGAAAACACATTATGTGCTGCAATAAATGCACTGCCCAAATGTTCCCTCTCCTCACTGCCTTTCAGCAGCAGGCAGCAGCAAACAGGTCGTCAGAGGAGGCCGATGTGATGATTAAGTTTAACATTTTCTACAATATTGCCAAAACACTTTAAGCACAAGATTGTGAGTTAATCATTTACAAATGAATATTGTCTGTATGGACTGCAATTTCCCCCCCAAAAAAGTGCACATGTAAAACTGCGGTGTTAAGTGATGCGGTTGAAAAATTTGAGTGCGCCTAACCTAACCGTGCGCCCATGGCAAACAGTTAGCCTAGAGCCCTGTCCTGGGTAACAGTAACAGCATCAGTCACTAATATTAGGCATTTAAGAAATGTTTAAGAAAATGACTGATTCCAAAACATTAAATACTACATAACTATCTGCCAGCACTCAGCATCTCCAAATTGCATTCACAAACAGCATCCAGCTTAGGGGCCAATTGATGAAGCTTGAATTAAATTTACCTTTCTACATGTAGCAATCATCCTCTGTTCTTCTTTGGCTGAGGTGATCATGGGTATGCGGCATACACTTTCAAAGACATCCTTTTGTTTCTGGAAGTAAAGAAAACATGTCAAAATTTGTACATGTTTCATTTTATTAAAGTCCGCAAAAAAGATATCCACGTGTTTACCTGCATGACACTGAGGCAGTGTTGGACGAGTCCCTGGACCCGGTAGTACTGGGCCTCTTTTAGAACTTCATCTAGTTCTCTGTGGTCCTCCGGAAGTGGTACTGAGCCATCTCGAAGGAAGTTCAGAACCAGCTCAAAATGCCGACCAGATCTATCCAAAACTACCCACCCTAGAGCAAAAGGGAGAGTAATTTCAGGAATTTTAATTCAGGTTATTATGCTTATATTATATTTACTGAGGTAGTCAAGAGGTCCCTTTAATGTGTTAGCATAACAGCTAACAAAGAGGATACAACATAATTCAATATTTACCAGCTTTGCTTTCAGAGTCAACATTATTTTGGTGGGACTTTTAAAACAGTAGTATGGTTAATAAGGCATACTCTTGGGACTCTGACACATACAAAAATGTTTTCAAAACATAACAAAACAAAACAAAAGAAATATTCAGAATTCAGTGTTGGGTTTATATTAAATGACTACTGGAGTTAATTAAGACAAATGCGTTGCAAATGCGTACAATATGATGTACAAGCAATGATTTGTACATATTTGTTTCACTCATGCGCGCGCTTTTTCTCCCAGTATTCTGTGGGAGGGGCAAAAATTCCTGTTCTGATGTTGAAAGTTGCCAACCTCTGCACTAGGTGATCAAAACTGTAGAAGCAGCCATTCTTGTGAATTGTGGACAACCTCGTAGATGGAAAGATAGATGGATAGTAGGGGTGCAACGATA